TAATTGTAGACATCTTTTATTAACAAATTGTAGACATCTTTTATTAACAAATTGTAGACATCTTTTATTAACAAATTGTAGACATCTTTTATTAACTAATTGTGGACATCTTTTACTAACAAATTGTAGACTAATTGTGGACATCTTTTATTAACTAATTGTGGACATCTTTTATTAACAAATTGTAGACATCTTTTATTAACAAATTGTGGACATCTTTTATTAACAAACTGTGGACATCTTTTATTACAAATTGTGGACAGTGGCACAGCGGTATGCCTGCGGACTTACAACGCTAGAGTCCGGATTTCGATACCCGTGGTGGGAAGAGCACAGATAGTCCATAGTGTAGCTTTGTGCTTAAGTACAAATAAACAAAAGGTATACAGAAATATGAGGATTATCTTAACATTTTCACAACTAATCATCGTAAGGCAGATCTTTTAAATCAGAGCTTACAAACTACTGGCAATATATCAACAATAATTATACAATAATAAGTCATGTATAAAAAGTATTAATCTTATGTAAAGAATTACTGACCATATTGAGGGAGTTAACTTCTCATTTAACTGGCGTGTCCACTAACAATGTACGAACTGGTGATGATATTTAGCTAGCGTGTCCACTAACAATGTACGAACTGGTGGTGATATTTAATTAGCGTGTCCACTAACAATGTACGAACTGGTGGTGATATTTAATTAGCATGTCCACTAACAATGTACGAACTGGTGGTGATATTTAATTAGCGTGTCTGCTAACAATGTACGAACTGGTGATGATATTTAGCTAGCGTGTCCACTAACAATGTACGAACTGGTGGTGATATTTAGCTAGCGTGTCCACTAACAATGTACGAACTGGTAGTGATATTTAATTAGTGTGTCCACTAACAATGTACGAACTGGTGGTGATATTTAATTAGCGTGTCTGCTAACAACGTACGAACTGGTGATGATATTTAATTAGTGTGTCTACTAACAATGTACGAACTGGTGGTGATATTTAATTAGCGTGTCAACTAGCAATGTACGAACTGGTGATGATATTTAATTAGCGTGTCCACTAACAATGTACGAACTGGTGGTGATATTCAATTAGCGTGTCATCTACTAATATACGAACTGGTGATGATATTTAATTAGGGTGTCAACTAACAATGTACGAACTGGTGGTGATATTTAATTAGCGTGTCAACTAACAATATACGAACTGGTGGTGATATTTAATTAGCGTGTCAGCTAACAATGTACGAACTGGTGATATTTGATTTATTTAGCGTGTCTGCTAACAATGTACGAACTGGTGATGATATTTAATTAGCGTGTCTGCTAACAATGTACGAACTGGTGGTGATATTTAATTTGCGTGTCTGCTAACAATGTGCGAACTGGTGATGATATTTGATTTATTTGGCGTGTCTACTAACAATGTATATAACAAAAAGCTAATTATTTATGTTCAAGGCTAAACTTGTGTTGTTTTTTCAGAATTTTGCACAAAGCCACATAAGATCTATCTGTACATAAGCCTCACTAATTCTGAGCTGATAGACTAGCAGATAGGCAGCTATGAAACAGCACCTACCGCCAACTCTTGGGCTACTCTTTTCTGATCGACTAGAGAGATTTGGTCGTCTCTCTTACAGCTCACCCAAGACACCAATGTTCGTATCGTGTTTCTGCACCAACTAATTGCGAACCATGAATCCTCGGGTTCATAGTCCGGGTATCAAGAACTAAACGAATAGGTTGTAGCCTAAATAAAAATCCAACATCAATTGAGCCGTGATGCATTATGGAGAATGAAATTCAAGAGATTGGGAGGGGGGCTGCTGTCTAAAAGGAAAATCAGAACCCCTCCCCCCGTGTCTACCTAAAGATCAACATAATTTATTTAATTCTTCAGTCAGAAGATGAATAATCGCCCGCTAAAACCAAAACTTATCTATGTTAAACACTATAGCGAAACTTTTGTTGTTGTTTTTTTTACACTCAGTGGCTTCCCTGCTATCTGATACAAATTTCAGGCTTCATAAAACGATGAACCCTGGTAATAAACTTGGAGAAACTCAAACACCCCCTCCCCCTCCTGACCCACAGACTTATGAATGAGAAGCTGATCCTACAATACGATTAAAACTTACAAATGAAGAAGGCGTGAATGTTAATGTCCCTATAGAGCCGGAGGGGGGCCGTCTTACATTCAGGTCGTGATGCACAATGTTCTAGTTCTGACAACCCTGTAAAATAAATTATGAAAATAATAATACATGTTTGTCCTATTCATTTGTTATAAATACCATTTATGTGATACAGTTTAGCAGCATTGCTTACACAAAATAATTAACAATCTACTTAAACTCGACCCTTGACCCAGAAACTCAGCCGAAAAAAATACATTGTTTTATGTAAACGTAGAGGCATACGATGGCGCGTGGCATATTAATCATGTTTATTCAATCTTATTTGGACTTCCACTTTTAATTTTTGTAACCTCATTAATTTAAAATTAACAATTGTACTTGGACGCACACACCTGTCGGGCTTTAAAAACATCTATGACCTATATATATATATATATGCCTTTTCTTTTAGGCTTTTCTTTCTTCAACTCTGGATAATTAATAACGAACTAATTTGAGAACGTTGTGCCTCCTAGAAATGGCACTTAGTCTTATTTCTGACCTACATATATTTTACGCTTCGTCAAGTTATGGGCGTCGTCATATTGTATCAAGGATTTTATTACTACATAGACACATGATTTCGGATATACTTTTAGCTACCATACGTCCAGCCCAGCTAATGACTTCTGGCCAATGACCTGTAACTAACCAAAGACAGTTCTAATAAAATAGAAGAATGAGATAAAAAAGAAGAAACATCTGTAGTGAAACGTAATTTTCATCACATTCCTTAAGACTATATCTACTAGCTTGTGTTACTAATCTTCACGTGATTTTTATCACATTCCTTAAGACTATATCTACTAGCTTGTGTTACTAATCTTCACGTGATTTTTATCACATTCCTTAAGACTATATCTACTAGCTTGTGTTACTAATCTTCACGTGATTTTATCGCATTCCTTAAGACTACATCTACTAGCTTGTGTTACTAATCTTCACGTGATTTTATCACATTCCTTAAGACTACATCTACTAGCTTGTGTTACTAATCTTCACGTTATTTTTATCGTATTCCTTAAGACTATATCTACTAGCTTGCGTTACTAATCTTCACGTTATTTTTATCGTGATAAAATCACGTGAAGATTAGTAACACAAGCTAGTAGATATAGTCTTAAGGAATACGATAAAAATAACGTGAAGATTAGTAACACAAGCTAGTAGATGTAGTCTTAAGGAATGTGATAAAAATCACGTGAAGATTAGTAACACAAGCTAGTAGATATAGTCTTAAGGAATGTGATAAGAATCACGTGAAGATTAGTAACACAAGCTAGTAGATGTAGTCTTAAGAAATGTATTCCTTAAGACTACATCTACTAGCTTGCGTTACTAATTTTCTTCGACAGATGAACGCACCACCACATGTCAAAAAAAGCACCAATCAATATGACGTAAGAGATTTGTCAGAGGTCAAAGGTCACTAACAGTCAGGTTTCTTTCGTCACGATTTAAATTACGTTTATTTGTCTCATGTCTAGAGAGTGTTGAGCCACTGTCATGAATAACTACTTCCTAACTAATAAACTCGACATTAAGGCAACATTTTTACTGTATGTTGCCTCGGAACATGGTTCTGTTTAGGAAGTGAATTTAGATGCGGTAATGTGGTTGAAGTTGATTTTGAACCAAGTTAACCCTATTTTGAGTATAGAGTACACGTGAATGTTTTTATATAAATGGCATTACTTTTAATATAACGTAGATATCTTAAAAGTTTCATTAGCGATATATTTTAACCTATGACGTACGATTACAATACACCTAGTATAAGTATTCTGAACTACTTATTAACTCTCATACTATGGCCAGAGGGTTCCTAGTTGTTAGTGTGACTTGACTGTATATTGGAGAGTTCGTGGTTCGCATATAGTTGCCAGAAAAACGTACTCCGCATTTTGGGGCCTTGGGTACTTTATAAGAGTAACGGCCAAATCTCTTTACCCGATTAGATAAAGGAGCTCAAGAGTTGGCGGTGGGTGATGTTGACTTCCATCTAGTCTATCAACTCATAATTAGCGACGATGCTGTGAGGATAGCCATTGTATTGGTTTTCGCAAAAATTCTAAACAAAGAAACAGACAATCATAGCTATAATGTTTCTATATCGTCTCCACGTGCAAGACGTGTAGTTTCTATATCGTCTCCACGTGCAAGACGTGTAGTTTCTTGTTTGGGCTAAAGAACTTTTCGAAATATTTAACAAAAAAGTTTCACCGCAAGTTTTTCTTTCGTACTGATAACTGTAACCTAACTCGTCTTATTGATTTTTATCCATACAATTAGAAGTGTGTATGAACAACGCCCTCTTCAGTACACCTTATTAATTAAATCAAATACACCGGTAAATCGTTATCATACCATAGTTCTAATTTATAACAAAATTCAACCAGTAAAAAATTAAATCACAAATATTTTCATTTAAATTCACTGTAATACTCCACGGTGGGACAGCGGAAAATTTACCGACTTACGACGCTAAAAATCCAAGGTTCGATTCTGCGCCGTGAACACAACAGATAGCCCAATGTGACTTTGCTCTAAAACAAACACACGTACCCGAATTTGTAGTTTTACCAGGGGTGAAAGTAACTCTAATTTCTTACCGGTACGGTAACAGTGTTTGCCCTCCCCTTCCACATTTTAAACAAATCAACATTGCTACTAACAGTTACTACGCTTAATAGAAAAAAACAAAAACACTCTCTATTTAAGTTTGATTTCTAAACGTTTTTTAAGTTGGAATGGATTACAAGTAATGAGGAGAATGAGTCCTACCTGATAGGGGGTGGGATCTGAATGTAACGTCACATCCAACAATACCGTCATATTAACACGTGACGTTCATAAGTGGGTTGCCGGTACAGCGTGCCGACGCTACCGGTATACAGTACCGGACTTGATTATTTTCATCACTGAGTTTTACCACATATGTATGTGCCCCTTATTGGCTCAGCTTATAACGTTAAAATCTGGAGTCAATCCCCGCTGTGAGCACAGTGAAGATAGTCTGTTGTGCAGTCTTGAGCCTAAACAAGTAAACAATATGTCTTTATTACTGAGTCGTTATGTAAATAATGTAAATAATTTGGGATTTACAACACGTGAAATAGAATTTCCTTTTTTTTCGAGTGAAGTATAGATAGATGTTTACCATAATTAAATACAAGAAAAATTAGCTAAATTGTTGTCTTTTTTTTTGGCCACCTAGGGAGGTCCATGAAAATTAGAGCAGTTAAGCTATTAACTCTTTTATTACATAGAAGTATCACAAAAATTTCACACACATATCGAACAGTTCTCAGTTCTTGACACACGTGGTTTCTTGTTCAGTACGAACTGGACTTCATCACATATCAAGTTTTCACTGGTTACACATATTGGTATTTTTAACCCTAACGACATCTTATGCGACAGCTGGACTAGCCGGCCAGGTCAGAGACTCCTCAATTTTAGAGATAGCCAATGTTAAGTTAGAATTTCTGATGAGAAGTAGAGCAAACAGCCAGACGTATCCGACACCCTATGTGCCTATTCCTAACTGCATAACGGTTTTGATTGTCACACTTATTACGCCCTCATAGCTGAAAGTGCGGAGCATGTTCAGCAGCTTGAGCCATATTACAAGCACTTTTTGTAATGATACAGTTAAATTCTCAAGTTATACCCGTATTACAAGCACACTTTATAATGGTACGGTTAAATTCTCAGTCTATAGCCGTATTACAAGCACTCTTTATAATGGTACGGTTAAATTCTCAGTCTATAGCCGTATTACAAGCACTCTTTATAATGGTACGGTTAAATTCTCAGTCTATAGCCGTATTACAAGCACTCTTTGTAATGGTACGGTTAAATTCTCAGTCTATAGCCGTATTACAAACACTCTTTATAATGGTACGGTTAAATCATCAGTCTATAGCCGTATTACAAACACTCTTTATAATGGTAAGGTTAAATTCTCAGTCTATAGCGAAAGAAATAAATCATACGTTGTTTTAAAGTGTAGAAAAAACAAACAAACAACAAACAGAAACATTATCATGTTTACTCATATTCTGAATAAACGCAATATTGTCGAAGTATTTGAGTAAACGCTAAGATACTTCGACAATATTGCGTTTATTCAGAGAAAGAATTGACCGAGATTAAATGAGGCTTTAGTTTTTTATTCGTTTTTCATAAGATTATCTGTAATGGAGAAAGGAGATTTTCATCAGGCACCAGTGTAGCGATATTTTTGGAACTGGTCTTGGGTGGAAAAATATGTGATTCAGTGTCTAATTCTAAACTTTAATCAGTGATCAGTTTACAACTTTAAAATTTGGAGTTGATCCCTGATGTGGAGAACAACGGGTGACTCTCAGAGGAGTACGAATATGAAACGACGCTACAGTAGTTTCAACCAAAATGAAGAAACTTTTCAAATTCTGTTTAACCTGAGCAGTTTAGGTTTTTTCTATGTAAATCGTGAAGACCTGTAGGACAAAATGTATCAACTGTAACTGGAGACTAGTGATTGTTTACAACTTAAACAGAGAAAGTTGGGTGTTTATACTTCCAAGAAAAATACGTTTACAGACTCGGGAAACGATGTGCTGATTGTTGAGTGTCCATTACAGAAGTCGTGTCACTGTGATGGCGCTGATCTTGTTTACTTGGAGAACCATTATTCAAACAAGTTCATTAGGCCTACCACACAGGATGTAATGACACTACTTCACGATCCTCACGTGAGCTTCTGGTAGGTAGGGGGATTGGTAAAACGTTACTTTTAGGCTTATTTGTAGGGGGATTGGTAAAACGTTACTTCTAGCTTATTTGTAGGGGGATTGGTAAAACGTTACTTTTAGGCTTATTTGTAGGGGGATTGGTAAAACGTTACTTTTAGCTTATTTGTAGGGGGGATTGGTAAAACGTTATTTTTAGGCTTATTTGTAGGGGAATTGGTAAAACGTTACTTTTAGGCTTATTTGTAGGGGGATTGGTGAAACGTTACTTTTAGCTTATTTGTAGGGGGATTGGTAAAACGTTATTTTTAGCTTATTTGTAGGGGGGATTGGTAAAACGTTATTTTTAGGCTTATTTGTAGGGGATTGGTAAAATGTTACTTTTAGCTTATTTGTAGGGGGATTGGTAAAACGTTACTTTTAGCTTATTTGTAGGGGGATTGGTAAAACGTTACTTTTAGGCTTATTTGTAGGGGAATTGGTGAAACGTTACTTTTAGCTTATTTGTAGGGGGATTGGTAAAACGTTACTTTTAGCTTATTTGTAGGGGGATTGGTGATAATCTGTTATTGGTAACAAGACAACTATCAGAAAGTATGTTGTTACTTGCTACTTTCTATATGTTTGTTAAAGGTAATTGAAATGCAGATTTTTTTTTTAAACCACAACAGGAATGTGTTGTAAAATAACATTTTTAAAAGTCCGTATTTCAGCGTGTTTTTATTACAGATCCTCTTGCTACTAAACGATACGATATTTCCCCCTTAACTACACATTATATATGTTTCTTTTATCTTCAGCTTAATTGTTCATATTCCTTACCTCCTCCCCTATATGTACACCCCTTTCTCCTCACCTATTTATACACCCCTTTCTCCTCACCTATATATATATACACCCTTTCTCCTCACCTATATGTACATCCCTTTCTCCTCACCTATATAAACATACTCCTTTCTCCTCACCTATATCTACACCCCTTTCTCCTCACCTTTTATACACACCCTTTCTTCTCACCTATATGTACATCCCTTTCTCCTCACCTATATATACACACACCCTTTCGTATCACCTATATGTACACCCCTTTCTCCTCACCTATATATATCCACACCCTTTCTTTTCTTCTATATAAACACACCCCTTTCTCCTCACCTATATGTACATCCCTTTCTCC